TATAAATGAACAAAATTTTATCTATTACTTAAAGATTACAAATTTCAATGGGTTATGTTAGTATTTATTTTTTTCAGAGGCATTTATATATATGGTGTTATTTAGAGAGTTTTTATATATTTTTATGACAGTTCCATTAATATAGAANGTTTTTATATATTTTTATGACAGTTACATTAATATAGAGGATATGATCAATGATATATTTCGAGTCATTTTAAAAAAAGAATTAGTACGAATATTTTTATGTCATTCTTTTTGAATTTGGACAATTGTTTAAGATTTTTTTGTTCATTGTATAGTGTCTTCAGATACGGGTAATAACTAGTATTTAATAAAGTAACTAATTTTTTTGTCTTAAACTTTTCACGACTCAGATTGTTTGAAAATTATTGATCCGACGATTTTAATTAGAGTTTTTTTCTTTTTAAAATTTTGAGACTCCCATCTCTAATATGACTCTCTTTCTCTATTTATCTCATACACCCAACTCTCATATGTGTATATAACTCTACTTCTCTCTCTCTCTCTCTCTTCCTCACAAATATTTTGAACACACACACTCTCTTATCTCTTATTCTTTCTCTCTTAGCATTATTTTTTTCGTCTTGACAATTCTAATTGGACTTATTTACTCAAAATATTTGTATGATTTTATCAATGAGAAAATATTTAAACATTAACAAAATTCTCAGATTATAAATATTCAAAGCCAAGCTAGTCACCAATAACAAATAACAAGTGATATCAATTGCACCCAATAAAACTAAAAAATTCAAAGTCAGCTAATTACCAATAAAAAAAAATCAATGACCAATAAAAAAAATAAGTGAAATCAATTGCATCGAAAAAAATAAAATTCTAAACCAACTAACAATTTTTTTTTCCTTATTTGTAACGCTTTTCCCTTTGCTAATGTTCAAATTTTTTAAATACTTGAAGAGTATAAAATAGACAACAAAACGATAAAAATGTCAATTAAATCAATTTGTTTTTTTTAAGTAGTGAAATTTTGATTTTGTTCATTTGGTTTAATTGCAACGTGAGAATATTTTTATTGCATCCGAGAAGTCATAGCGGCAGATAATTAAATCAATAGTCCTTGCAGCTATAAGCAGATTCGCTAGACAATATTAGTTCAATTGGGGTTTTTTTCTATTTTTTGAAATTTGATTTGTAGTTTAATATGAACTAAACAACTTATTTATTAGATTTAGCAAGAGGTGGAAAAAATGAACACTCATTGGAAAGAAAAGCCGCTATAAAGAAATATATGGCAAAATAATTTTGTAATGGTGTTAATTTAAGTTCATATGGATTTTTGGATTGTGTTAATGAGATATAATTTTTTAATTTCAATCCTTAAACTTCTTTTATTTAAGATATTTTTGGATGCTCCATTTGTTTGACAATTTTTTTGTGTTAAGAGTGTTTTTAAGCACGAGTAATGACTAGTTTATATATATAATCTGATTTGATTTGAATTATTTATATATTTTTATATAAATATTAAAAAATTAAGTAATTATTTAAATAAATTTAGTTAAAATTTAGGTATAATTTGTTAAAATTTAGTTAAATAAGTTATTTGGATCGGATCAAGTTTTCAATTTGTTAACAAATTCGAATATGGATTACGAAATTAGAATTTGATGGATTATTAAATTTAAATTCGAATTAGTTAGAATTTGATCTAAACCCAATCCGATGATAGATCTACTCAAAAGAAGGCAGAAATGGTTGAAGTAGTCGTTTGCTCGATTGGAAGGACAGCTGCTTGTTTTTTTTTCCCTGTGAAATTAGGATTGACTGAACTAGCTGCTTGAATCTGTTGCGTTAGAATGAATGTAGCCGCCGCTGTTGAATTTGTAGAAAATTTTAAAGTTAGGCTCGAGTCTTCCGCGAACCGTCTGCCTTCTTACATTCAACTTTCTATCTTCCTCTATATTAGTAGGGTCGGCATATGGTACCGAAAATATTTTTTTTGGTACAGGACCCTTGAATCAACAAGGGCCTTGGTTCATCATAAATAATTTTAAATTATTTATCAGATATTTTCTCTTTTATTGGTTACCCACTAAATCAGTTACTCACTTAATGTGAAAGAAAAATACTAATATAATTTTTTTTTAAAATGATGCACAATAAAACCATTAATATAAATAAATTACGTTTAAATTAATTAGCTAAAGAAAAAAGATAATACAATTTGCTTTTTTTAAAAAAAAGGAAAGAAATAGTAGACGGAATAAGTTACAAAATTTGGGGGTACGGAACCACTCTTTTAGTAGATATTACAACTTTTGATTAAGTTAATACCTTTGAGGATAAGTTATCACCTTTTAGGTTTACCACTTTTTATGTAATGTATAATTTTTTGGGATAAGATACTACTTTTTTGGGGTCGTTGCCACTTTTTAGGGGTAATATTACCACTTTTAAGGATAAAGAATACTGTTTTAGGCTAAATTTCATCTTTTGGGATAATTTCATCACCTGTTGGGGGTAACATATCACATTTTGCCATTTTGGGTGGTAAGTTACCACATTTTGTGTAGATTATCACTTTTTGAGTAAAATTGCCGTGTTTTAAGAGCAAGGTTACAACTTTGTGGGGGCTAAATTACCATTTTTAAGTTAGGTTACTATTTTTTGGGTAAAGTTATTACTTTGGTTATTGGTTGCATAGAAAAGAGTTGACCAAGTAGTCATCTTAGGAGTTAATCACCAAAATATAGTAGTTTACAAACAAAATTACCAAAATACTGTATTTTTGAACTTAACTATAACACTTTTTAAAAGCGGATTCAATAATTCCGTTTTTGTTAAAAAGCGGATTCAATAACTCCGCTTTTGTTAAAAAAACGGATTCAACAACCTCGCTTATAGAAGGAAAAAAATTTGGGCAATGAGAAAAGCGTATTTCATAAACACGCTTTTTACAGTTTTTGTGAAAAGCGTGTTTATTACGCACGTTTTTCACACAAAACAGCATAGGTCGCTGGTTCAAAAACTAGAGAGAAATGAAATTTAGCTGTGTCAAATTTGACTGCAAAGGTTCCTTCACACTAGTTGAAACACGTGAAAAGCTAGTTGAAACATGTAAAAAGCGTGGTTACTAATCATGCTTTTTAAAATAGTGTGGTTAGTAACCACGCTTTTAACGTGTTTCAGCTTATTATTTTGGACCATATTTTTTAATAAAAGCGGAGTTGTTGAATACGTTTTTTAATAAAAGTGGAATTATTGTCCGTTTTTAAAAAGTATTGTAGTTTGGTAAATAAATATAAAAATGCGATATTTTGATATATTTGTTTAAAAAGGACGGTAGTTTGGTAAATAATTTGTCATCTTAGCATGTCAGCTTTAACATGATAAATGCCTATTCATTAATAATCTGGTACATTTTTCTCTTCATCATACTTGGGTATATGTGTGTGAGAGACAATACGGCAGAACAGTTTTGTAATTGATGATATGAACATGCCAATGCAGCCTTTGAGGAGGCCTATTACTGCAAACTCGGTCCTTATGAATCCTAATTCTAGATATTGGGCTCTCAGAGGTATGGGATATTTATTACGATTCTTCATGATTCTAATATTTTCTCATCTTATGTGTCAGTAGTACTTCAATAATTATGCGAAATTCTTGTCCTTAAAATTGTTCTCTTGATTAGAATGTCACGTTGCTCTCCATTTGTTGACCTCTTAGGATGCTGACAAGGTAATCAGATTTTTACTTGTCTTTTATGTTTGAGTAGTTATCGATCTTTCACAACAAGAAATTGGTCTGTTAGCCATAGAAATTATTGCGGCAATATGTGTGTGGCTAAATTATTTAGCTATGACATTTAATTGTTGTCACTTAAAGTAAATTTTTTAGTCGCACTATGAAAAATGTCACTAAATATAAAATTTTTAGCCACCATAATTATTATAACAAGTTAACGTAATTTTGCCATTAAAATATACTATATCACCACTTAATGCCCGATTAAAACTTGACTTTTAGTAACAACAATTAATTGCAGCTAAAAATATACATTTTACCCACAATTAAAATCACTACTAAAATCTGAAACATGATTTTTTGATAACTTATTGTCGTTACTAATTAATACATTAAAATAAACAAATAAACCTATCGCATATTTGAAAAAAAAAAATTAATATTTTCAAATTTCACATACCTGTTATAATTTAATGAATCAATATATATACCTGATGAAAAAAAAAACATAATAAACTCTCACTTTCAAAGATATAATTCTCAAATCAAATCACGTGAAATAATATTCTGATATTAGTTTCATTAAATTATACATATACAACGTGTTATCATCAAAGAATATGAATGAACAAAAAAAGTTAAGATCATATTTTCATATTGTGTCCTAGCAACTAGACAATGATACCCACTCAAAAGAAAGTAATTGCATAAAAATCAAGTCTCAACTATTATTCATTTTTTGGCAAGTTATTAGACCTTTTGTCTTTAGTCATCGGAGACGAGCCTTCCAAAGTTGTTTTTAGAGCTTCCACTATTTTGTACCTAACATAAATTACCCAACATTAATAGAAATTCATTGAAGAAAATCAAGAGAAGACATATTGGAGATGATTCAAATATATATCAAGACTACATAACTAGTTTACTCAATAAAAATATATTCTACCAGCCAGTACAAATTCTAATATATCAGGCTGTTCCAGTGACAGAGGCAGAGATCCCTATGAGATTGTGAGCATATCAGTCTGTTTGAGTAAGTAAAATGTACAAATGCAAATAAGCATGCAAGTCTGCTTGAACATAGACAAATGCAAATAGGCATCAAAGATTGACTCTACCAATTCTTGAATTCCATTTTCAATTTTTTGTAAATCAAATAGAAAACAGAAACAATATCAAGAATATGATCAATACTGTAAATGAAGTGCTCAACCCATAACAGTAAGATTAGTAACCCATGAAATAGAACTTTTGCAATTTAAGAGATCTTACCCTATCACAATGAAGAGAGGTAAGAATTTCCCCAACTCCTTCATTTGCAGAAAAAATGTGATGAGCTGAGTTTGAAGCACGACATGCACTTGTGTTTGCATCTCAACATCAATATTGGGCTTTAAGGACATTAGTCGCAAAGTCAAATCATTGTTTTCCTTCTCCAACAACTCCCAACGCAACCTATTTGTTTCAGCTTGCCTCTTCAATCCCTCACTCTCCTTCTCTAGTTGTACACGGATGCGTTGTCCAGTTGTAGATGTTGTGGGCTTTGGACCAGCCCCACGACCACGTATATATCCTGATTTTTCCAGACCAAGCACTACTTCAAACCTCTTATCCTCAATCATGGGGGTAGCTCCTTCCTCCATTGATTGAGCCTCTAGCCTCTTAAGGTCACTCTACATTTGGAAAGATTACAATCTATCAATTTTAGCATTATGTAAGAAGATATTTCAAGGAAATGGAGAATGATAGAATAACTTACATAGACTTCTCCTAATCTCCTGCCAACCCAAGCATTCCTCTTCATACTAAACTTGGTTGTCAACCACAGTTTTCGTACGGTTAGACTTCTCTCCAGTCTTGGGATCACACAATCATGCATTAAACATTATTAGAAAAAATTTAAATAAATATGCATGGATTCATTATAAATAAACAAGCTAGGGGGCTATTTGATAACATCACTTAAGACTTAAAAATAAATACTTTAAGCACTTGATAAATTAAACTCGTTTGATAACTTAAAACGCATACTACTTAATATTTTATGCACTTCTTAAAAATAGGCTAAAATTTTAAGTAGCAAACCACATACTTAATACTTAATGCTAAAATATTAGTCGGTAAGAATTTTATCAATTTCTTATAATGGACAAATATACCCTCACCACCACCATCGTCGTCACCACCACCACCACCATTGTGCTACCATAATCACCACTATTGCTACTATCACAACTACCATTGTACCACCGCCACCACCACCAGCATTGTCGCCAGCACCACAATCACTACCACCATCATTGCCACCGTCACCACCTCCACTACTATCATCACCACCACCACCGTCACCACCATTACCATTATGTCACTGCCACCACCACCACTACCATTGCCACTACCCGTCACTACCATTGTGTCGCTTCCACACCACTACAGTGTTGGCATCGCCACCACCATTATTCACCACCACCACTACCATTACTGTTGTGATGGTGGTGATAATAATAAGGCAGTTGCAGAGAGATGATTAAAAAGAATGGCAAAATTAGAATAATAATAATTTTTAAAGTTCAACTCCTTATATTTGACAAACAATTTGATTAAATTCAATACTTAAATTTCAGTTGATACCACACAGTTTGCTAATTAAAAAATTCAACATGTAAAATTCATCATTCATCATTCAGTTTTCAGTTTTCAGTTTTATCAAACACCACCTAGGTCCCCTTCTCACTTAATAACTTAATTTGACTTGTCTCAATAGGAGCCGTCTATTATTTTAAAGAAGGAGAAGAAGATCTTCTTATATATAATCTAAACTTTGTAATTTAAATTTTATAAATTTCATATACGAATTATTAAAAAATTCTTGCAGATCATGCACAGAAGAATAGCCAATACTTCTTCTAGAAAACCATGACTATAAAATTGCACCGTAAAAGTTTTTTAGAGACTTGACTTGTGAAAACTCCCTACATATGGTTTCCTATTTTTCAGGTCACAAAAAGCTCCTGCAGAAGAAAAAAAAATGAACACCAAAATATTTCCCAGAGACCAATGTAGTATTTTTTATTTTGAACACAACATCACTACCATTTTTTTTATGTGTAGCGGTATACAAATATCACAATCCAATAACATTTAATACAATTCAATTAGTCTAGACTACAAGTGGATGAACAAGTACTCCGAGGAGAGAATATATAAAGACGGGCAGATGGAGGGAGATGAACGATACTTGAATAGTTATTGACTTATATAGAGGAAGAGCGAGTAATTGTTTGTTTACATAGAGGGTTGATTATTAATTTTAGTGAGACATATTTACTTATTTGTTTTGATATTATTGATTGGTAATATTACGTTAGCATTGTCATATGATATCACCATTGTAATGAATACTGAATTAGACCGTATTGGTTTAAGTAACTCACGAGTCAGACCGTGTCTGTTTATATCAGGTTTTTGACAGTTTACAGAGTGTTTAGGTCAAACTATCTCACATTTTTTGCCGGTCACTCCATGCCTTAAGTCAATATTCATAACAAATAAATGACGTGTGTTTCTGGAATACCTCTCCATTTCAAACTGCCATTTTTCATCAATCATTGAATTTATTATGCACGTTGTTGGACTATTATGATCATCAGTGACATCTAATACAACATAATAAATTTAATTTGTAGATAATTCAACTCAGGCCAAAATCAATAAAATTTAAAATAGAGAAGTTAGGAGTCTCTTTGGTTTGATTTTGCAAAATTTTTTTTTTTTTACTCAAAACTCTAAAAACAATGAAACAATATTTTGTTTGAATTTTTGTACTACAATTTTGGGGAAAAAGTGGGAATTGAAGCAAAAAAATAGAAAACATGCCCAACTTGTTTTCAAGTCATTATGCCGAAAATTTTGGAAAAATGGAGACAAACCTCTTTAATGAGGTCTGCCTTTCGAGTCCCCTTAGCAGCAAAAGACTTTCTTCTTTTTTTTTTCCTTCCTCTCTCTCTCTCTCTACACTTTGCCCATTAAACAGAATGAACACCACAGAGGAAGTTTCACCACCTTCTTTCTCTTTAGTGTCTTCTTCTTCATCACAGAGGAAGCTTCAGATCTGCCCTTCTCTCTCTCTCTTTCGCAACATCTAAAGATTCAAATCTACATAGATCTGAACACAAATCTGTGTATATACATAGATTTGTGCTCACATATGCATGCGTCTATGTATGTGTGTGTGTGTGTGTGTGTGCGTGCGTGTGTGAGGGTGTTATGTGGAGACAGAGGGAGGGGAAAGTAAGAGAGGTGAAAATTATAGATTATTATCCAAACAAATTTTATAATTTTTGTTCTTTAAAATTATTTTAAAAATTATATAATCAAATAGGTTTTGTAATCTAAAAATTTTTTAAAATATTTTTTAAAAATTCTTTTCAAAAATAGTTTTCAGATATTGTTTTTTGAGATGCAAACTAAACAGGCCCTAGACTTTCAAGACGTGTAGTTTGAACTTAATACGTTATGAATTTGGACCTAAACCAATCCAACAAAAAATTGAATTGGTCACTTGTCGCTTCTTTGTATGTAACGATATTTTTGCATTGTAACTTCTTTTTCACACTACAAACAAAGATATATGCTACAATCTTATTAAAAGACTAACCAATCATTTTCCATCAGCCTCAAGGCTTTTGGAATAGTTTGTTAAATTCTTAATTATTAGCAGTAGAGTATAAACTACGAAGTTTATTGGCGAAATCAAATTTCTTGGACCTAGTACTAAATCAATGGATACCTTTTTAAACAATTAACCAAATCAATTCATTTTGAAACAACAACTAATTTTTTACTTATTAAAAATTATGATTAATTTCCATGCATCTCCACACTAACCGCGATGAAGTATTCAAAGAGATTTAAGAGAAAATTTACATGGACGAACAGAAAAGAGAGCACCCACGAAAGGACATAAAATAACAAGAAATTTTTGTATACATCATCAATAAAAAATTATATAATTTCTATGAATAGCCANGCACCACCCGAGTTGAACTTACCAGTAGAATCACACCAATAATAATGAATAACCTGCAATTGGAGGCTTTGATCTGAATCAGAGTCATAAAATAGTAGAATCTGAGACTCAGACCCTCATGTCCCTCACATACAACATAACCTAGGGAAGTGCTAAAAATAATTCAACAGAGTAAAATAGAACCCATGAAAGGTACTACAAAAATGTTACCACTAATTGATCTGGACCACATACTACTCTCTCTCTCTCTCTCACAGAAACACTCTCAGAGGCAAACTCTCATAAGCAGATTGTAGTGAAATGTCTAACCATTGATGCTCTAGCATGAACAATCCTTACATGGGGTCTTTCACTGTTGCATGTCATGTGTCCAGCACATCGTATTTGTGTTAATATTCGGGGGCCAGAGACAAGAAGAAAATTGTTCTAAAACATAGGTGAAACAGGGCAACTAAATTTACATTACCATCCAAGCAAAAGTGAGAGACGAGCCATTGGGGCTGACGGCAATCTTTCACCCAGGGCAAGCATACCAGCAAGAACACCAGTCACGATTGATGCCACAGCAGCACATGTAGACACTACAATTGCCCTCCCATGCTTCAAGCCTCTTGTCTGTTTCAAATCAATAACACAATTATTGGCCGCAATGGTCTCTGATTAGTTAACATATGAGGCCATATTCAGTAGCCTATTTTATAACAATAGCCNTTTTGTAACATGACATTCTAAGAGGCGCCTCATGTTGAAAAAAAATAGGAATTTACCTCCAAGGAAAAAAGAAACTGTATTTTGAATTATTGTTGTGTCGAGTATTCGGTTCTAGATCTCCATACCTTATACTCCTGAGATATCTACTCAAATATAAATAGACTTATTAGAATTCACATTGCATATTCTATTATTATTTTTTAATTTTACTCAATTATAAATTATGCACCGTACATGGATGACAACGTTTGTTCACAGAAGGTCCCATTTAAATTATTAATAATATATCTACGATTTTAAAAATTGTGTTCCTGATGCAAATTTGAAAGGAAAACCACTGGGGTTAACTTTTAGCTACAGTTGGTCTGCGTGGGGCCTCTGTATGTGCCACTGCCAACCAATCTTGACCTAGATGGTACAAAAGCGTTCCCATTGAGATTTACGTTAAAGCATTTTTGTGTCTTTCCAATGTGTTACCACAAATTACTATTGAATCCGGCCAATTTACCACTCAAAAGGATTAGGTTATGACACTAATCTTTTTAGTATTTTCAGTGAGACACCAAATTCAACAGTCTGGATTTTTTCCCCTTGGGNCAAATTACTATTGAATCCGGCCAATTTACCACTCAAAAGGATTAGGTTATGACACTAATCTTTTTAGTATTTTCAGTGAGACACCAAATTCAACAGTCTGGGTTTTTTTCCCTTGGTTGAAAGTCTAATAAATTCTAGATCAGTGAGACTATTTACTACTCAAAATAGTCTTACATGTATTGGCATATATACCAAAATCACCCTTGTGGTAGAAAATTTGTATGAGGTAGGATTGAGACTACGATGGGTTTTAGCTAACACACTTCTGGCTTTGAGTTCTAAACTGTGACACACATTTTTGGGACAAAAGAGAATGACGNAATCAGGTGAGCTGCCCTTAGGTACAATTTCTTCGTAGCTGCCTGACCCGACATGCCATTAAATGATTCAAATGCTGACTATTCAAATTGAATTCAAGATAAACAATGCAAGATATTTCATTTATTATTTGTTCCAATGAAAAAAAGGTAGTTGGGTTTGAATTTTTTATTTTTATTTTGATCAGAAGTTGGGTTTGAATTGAACGCTTGCAATTTGGTGTGTATCTTCCACCCAATTTTCCTTTGTGGAGTTTTGTAACATGACATTCTAAGAGGCGCCTCATGTTGAAAAAAAATAGGAATTTACCTCCGAGGAAAAAAGAAACTGTATTTTGAATTATTGTTGTGTCGAGTATTCGGTTCTAGATCTTCATACCTTATACTCCTGAGATATCTACTCAAATATAAATAGACTTATTAGAATTCACATTGCATATTCTATTATTATTTTTTAATTTTACTCAATTATAAATTATGCACCGTACATGGATGACAACGTTTGTTCACAGAAGGTCCCATTTAAATTATTAATAATATATCTACGATTTTAAAAATTGTGTTCCTGATGCAAATTTGAAAGGAAAACCACTGGGGTTAACTTTTAGCTACAGTTGGTCTGCGTGGGGCCTCTGTATGTGCCACTGCCAACCAATCTTGACCTAGATGGTACAAAAGCGTTCCCATTGAGATTTACGTTAAAGCATTTTTGTGTCTTTCCAATGTGTTACCACAAATTACTATTGAATCCGGCCAATTTACCACTCAAAAGGATTAGGTTATGACACTAATCTTTTTAGTATTTTCAGTGAGACACCAAATTCAACAGTCTGGNAAGTTTAACTTATTTTTTACTTCTTCAGACTCTTTTAGAGCTTAAACATAACTAAATTATATTAGATTTTTAAGATATTTTTATAAACGAACCGATTCCAAACAACATGTGACTCAATTTTGATAGTCTTGGATAGAGGTGTTAATTGAACCGAAGTTTACGAGCTTGAATTTGAATTTAGCAAGTTCGTTTTTATAAACGAGCCTAAAAAATTATTCAAGCTCAATTTGTTTAAAACTTGAGTGCAGAAGCCCAAGCCGAATCCGAGCTGACCCTGAGCCAAACTTATTCCAAAAAAAACTCATCCAAAACAAATATACACATCTCTCTTCCTCTATTATGTAACAAATAATTGAGAAATTTATACTTCTAGAACTAGAACATACTGTCGTTTCAACAAATTTTAGAGCTATTTGTTGATAGATTGATAATTTTATTAATGGTCACTAAGTTTTATTATTTCCGTTTTAAAAATTTTTGCTAAAAAATTAAACTCAATAGCCTCTTGTTATTAAACTCTATGGTTAATACTTATATTTCCATGCCCATCAGTCATCAACAAGCCTCTAGAATGAGACTAAAGGCATCTTTTCTTTTCTTTTTTTCCCAATCAGGTGAGCTGCCCTTAGGTACAATTTCTTCGTAGCTGCCTGACCCGACATGCCATTAAATGATTCAAATGCTGACTATTCAAATTGAATTCAAAATAAACAATGCAAGATATTTCATTTATTATTTGTTCCAATGAAAAAAAGGTAGTTGGGTTTGAATTTTTTATTTTTATTTTGATCAGAAGTTGGGTTTGAATTGAACGCTTGCAATTTGGTGTGTATCTTCCACCCAATTTTCCTTTGTGGAATTTTGTAACATGACATTCTAAGAGGCGCCTCATGTTGAAAAAAAATAGGAATTTACCTCCAAGGAAAAAAGAAACTGTATTTTGAATTATTGTTGTGTCGAGTATTCGGTTCTAGATCTTCATACCTTATACTCCTGAGATATCTACTCAAATATAAATAGACTTATTAGAATTCACATTGCATATTCTATTATTATTTTTTAATTTTACTCAATTATAAATTATGCACCGTACATGGATGACAACGTTTGTTCACAGAAGGTCCCATTTAAATTATTAATAATATATCTACGATTTTAAAAATTGTGTTCCTGATGCAAATTTGAAAGGAAAACCACTGGGGTTAACTTTTAGCTACAGTTGGTCTGCGTGGGGCCTCTGTATGTGCCACTGCCAACCATTCTTGACCTAGATGGTACAAAAGCGTTCCCATTGAGATTTACGTTAAAGCATTTTTGTGTCTTTCCAATGTGTTACCACAAATTACTATTGAATCCGGCCAATTTACCACTCAAAAGGATTAGGTTATGACACTAATCTTTTTAGTATTTTCAGTGAGACACCAAATTCAACAGTCTGGGTTTTTTTCCCTTGGTTGAAAGTCTAATAAATTCTAGATCAGTGAGACTATTTACTACTCAAAATAGTCTTACATGTATTGGCATATATACCAAAATCACCCTTGTGGTAGAAAATTTGTATGAGGTAGGATTGAGATTACGATGGGTTTTAGCTAACACACTTCTGGCTTTGAGTTCTAAAGTGTGACACACATTTTTGGGACAAAAGAGAATGACACAGTAAGGCACCTCCCGAGAAAAGGCAATAGAAAATGAAAAGAAGACATTTCAAACGAAAATGAAAGGAGGACATCTAGATACGGGAGGAAGGGGGTATCTTCTTCAACGCTTTCTTTGTGGCACAAATTTTCATTTACCTACGCTCAGCTTCGCTTTGGTTTTTTAATTTTTAATTGTGTAACTTTAGTTTTTTAGATCTTTTAAATAGTCCAGTTGCAAGTCATCCACAATAGAGGTTGAGAACATCAGATTTGTGCAAACATATTCCTTTAAGCTAGGAGACTCGTTCTATAACTCGAACATATGATGTCTAGTTGCTAACTTTGACCTATACAATATACAAACAGTACTTTTGTGTCTTATTAGTTGGAATTTACTGAATTGGTCACTAATAATCGGGCAATGATATTAAAAATTGTTTTAGGGACTTAATTTAAACGAGACCCGTAATAATGCTAAAGAAACTCCAATAGCATGCAGTCTTAAGAGTATCAAATATGGCTAAAGCTTCCACAGAGAAAACCCTAAACACAAAGAAGCTTTAACTGTTTAAGATAATAATAATAATAATCCATGCAGAACTCAACTAATTTATAAACCGGTTGAAATTTTAGGATAGGGGTATTGGTAGCAAGAATAAGGAACAAATTTTATGTTTTTTTATTCTTGCTACACGTGATGTACAATCATGTACATTGATATCTTACTTGGCCACTATGCAAAAAGTGTAAAAAAATAAAAATTAACAAAGGTTGTTTGGATCATATAGTTTTACGGATTAGTATTTGAAGATTTTTCAGGATAAGTCTAAAATACTTAATGCAAATAGTATGTGAATCTAACATTTACATTAATAACCATGAGCACAAAATAAATTAATGGATATTTTTGAAAAATTGAAAGAGTTCAAATCTCAGCGTACATAACTTTTGAGTCGTTTGAATTNTTTTTTTTTTTTAATTTTCTCATGCACAATTTTCATTTTCACAGACAAAAAACACTTTTAAACTTATTTTTTAATATTGTATAGTTCTAAAAAATTTCAATTGAAATAATTTTTCTAAGCTTAAAGTCCTTATTCCAATTGATTATTTTCACTTACAAGTATTTTATTGTGAGGTAAAAAAAACATCATTTTAACTAACGTTTTCTATATTATGTAAGTTTGAAAGCGTATGTGTTTGAAAAAAATGGTTTATTTTATATGAGAGGGGAGCAAAACTTTCCCTACTCATTGTTGTCTTTACCAAGATTTAGTNTTTTTTTTTTTTAATTTTCTCATGCACAATTTTCATTTTCACAGACAAAAAACACTTTTAAACTTATTTTTTAATATTGTATAGTTCTAAAAAATTTCAATTGAAATAATTTTTCTAAGCTTAAAGTCCTCATTCCAATTGATTATTTTCACTTACAAGTATTTTATTGTGAGGTAAAAAAACATCATTTTAACTAACGTTTTCTATATTATGTAAGTTTGAAAGCGTATATGTTTGAAAAAAATGGTTTATTTTATATGAGAGGGGAGCAAAACTTTCCCTACTCATTGTTGTCTTTACCAAGATTTAGTCATTCCTAGACTAGATGAGCGTCTTCTTTGACAATGCTGACGTATGAATTAGTCTAAATTAACGGCCTATTTAGTCACCTTGATGGCCTTTTTAAATTCTTTACCATTTTTACCCGCAGACTCTCTTTTCCTCTGCCTATATATAACCCACTCCTCTCTTCTTAGCTCTCCACAACTCATCCTTTGCTTTGCTTTCTGCAATCTGCATATATATCTACAAATACAAAGCAAAGATATGGATCTGTTTCTCCCTCTCCTTGCACTTGCAGTCTNGCCTATATATAACCCACTCCTCTCTTCTTAGCTCTCCACAACTCATCCTTTGCTTTGCTTTCTGCAATCTGCAAATATATCTACAAATACAAAGCAAAGATATGGATCTGTTTCTCCCTCTCCTTGCACTTGCAGTCTTCTGCACATTTCTCTATCTCATCTCCCTCTTTTATAAGTCCAAA